AATCAGTTGAAACGACTTTCACAGTCAATTTGATTCAACTTAACTCATATTTAACCCTTGCTTCTTGTCATTGTAGGCTTAGGCTACTTATTATTATTATTATTCCTAAATTATTTGATTAAAAACACATGCTATGGGTTGAGATGGTTCCATGCTACCATCATGTCGAGCCCTGGCAAAAAAATTTTTTAGATTTATTTGCAGAGGCAATACTACTCCTCCTAGTGTCATTTATTGTAATATTAATATAGATTATATAAAATTATAAAATTTAAGGTAGGCTAAGATTCACAGAATAATTCATATTAAATAGTGTATTTAATTCATAAGTGTATTCTGTAAAAAGCTCATGTTTTCAAACTGCTGTCTTGTAAAAAAAAAAAACTGGAATAATGTATCTCAGTTTGTTTGTAGAAAAATGGACTCTAATCCGTCCCTTGAGGAAAACTTTTTTTTAAACTTTACTTTCAATACACTAAGACACTAAGAAGTGTTTTCTAATTGATTTTTTTTTTCAAATATAATTTATTCAGTGTCACATGATTCTTCAGAAATCATAATTTATAATAAGCTGATTTGCTGCTCAGCTAACATTTATTATTATTATTATCAATGTTGAAAAGTAATGTGTACAATTTTTTTTCAGGATTCTTTGATGAATAAAAAGTTCAAAAGAACAGCATTTAGCTGAAATAGCAAGCTTTTACATCATAAATTTATAATGGCATTATTAATGTCTTGACTGTCACTTTTGATCATTTAAATGCATCCTTGCTAAATAAAATTATTAATTTCTTCTTCTACATTTCTTGTAAAGCTTTCTATTTCATATAAATGCTGTTCTTAATTTCAACCGAGAGGCATCCTCCCCCCAACCCAAAATCGGACACCACTACAAAATGGCTGACACCCTAGTGTGCACTATGTAGGGGATAGGGAGTGATTTCAGACAGAGCACAAGGTTGCAACCAATGCTTTCTCAGTATCAAAAACACATTCAGGTTATTTCATGCATCCTCTGTACTTACTTTTGATTACTGGAATTTGGCAAAAGAGTGTACTGTAGTGATTGTCCGCTTCCATAAAGCTCTCCAGTCTCTCTACACTCTTACGAGTTTGTTATTAAATTCCCATGGAGAAAATGAATGGGAAAACACTGATGGAACCAAGGCCACTGAAAAAGTGGGCAGTTTTGCACTCTATTACATCATGGACTGAGATTGTCTAACAGGCATTCGATTGAATTCGCCCTTTGTTGGCTTCTGTCACATGATGCAGGATTCCCCTATAGAAAGAAGAACAACCTTTAGCACATGGTGACTAGACACAAAAAAGTGTCTGTTCTAATGCTCTAAACACTTTAATCAGTGATCTGACTTTTCCTGTATCTGCTAGGAAAAGCCATTAGAAGAAATGTGGATTATTGATAAAACAGCATTTGTAATGTATCAAGGACAGATAGAAGCATATTTCCTTTTTTACATTGTTATTTATTAACACTGTTATTATTTTACAATGATTATTTATTAACAATCAAGTAAGATTTTAAGTAATTACTTATTTTATTTAGCAAAGATATATTAAATTGGTCAAAAGTAACAGTAAACACTTTATAATGTTACAAAAAAAAAATCTATTTCAAATAAATGTTCTTTTGAACTTTCTATTTATCAAAGAATTCTGAGGGGGAAAAAAATGTATTGTGTTTCCACAAAATTTTACGCAGCAACCATTTTCAACTGTGATAATGATAATAATAATAAATGTTCTAATCAGCAAATCAGCCAATTAGAATAATTGCTGAAGGATCACGCGACACTAAATATACTGAAAATTCAACTTTGTATTGAAGGAATAAATGACATTTTAATATTTTAAAATAGAGAACAGTTATTTTAAAATGTACTAATATTTCACAATATTACTGTTTTTACTGCTTTTTGTTTTGTTTTACAATTTCACTAACATCAAACCATTGAGCAGCAGTGTACATTACCAACAAAACTGCTCAGAAGGCAACCTTATCTTCCGTCACTATTCTGTATGGATAACATTTTCATCTGAAGCAGAACTGTGTACAGATATTGTGTTACTGCCTACAGAGAAAGACAGTAACACAATATCTGTACACATTCAATCAAAGTGAAGTTAAACGAGGCTTGTCTTCTGCTATGCAAAAAAAAAACAAAAAACTATTGGGGTTTGGAAAGTTTAGAATCTGCCCTGTTACTTTGGACCATGAAAGTTTTGCAACAACCTTTATAAATGAATACCTCCTAAAATTGTATTGCACCAATGGCACCAAAGAATGAGCCTTTTGGATGTATAATCTGTTTTAACATTGTAGAAGACAGATTCTCCTATACTTGGTGGCTCTATTGTGCTTATTATGTCAAGGTTACCACTTATGCTTCCATGGCCAAATGTGTCAGCATATACTGTCCTCGATCCTCCATACTTCCTTCCTCTTAGATCACAGCGAAATGACTCCATGCTAGCTGTCACACTCATTTCTTTTACACTGATGTGTTTTTTTCTTCTGAGCAGCTAAAAGTTTACACACAAATAATATTTGTACAATTTATTTTATTATTTGACAACATGGTTGTGGTTTACAATAAAACTATTCTTTTCACAAATATGTATTTTTTCTTTTTTTCAAACATCACATCTCATATTTCATCTCAAGTATGTTGTTCATTGATATATTTGACTCCTTGTACACTAAGACCAAGTACACTCACTTTTGAAAATAACTTGTAAGAGGCTAAAATGGTGACCATGATGGGCATCATACTGAGGGAGCAAACTGTAAAAACTGATATAAAATGATTTTCATACAGTAAATATCGAAATGGTCGGATGGATTTTACATGTTAATGCTGAAAGTCTGGGACAAAGATAAAGCAAGAAAATCTATAAGTAGGGTATTTGAAAAATAAAATGATGTAAGTATGTTTAAAAAAAAAAGTTTCCAAGACTGTTTTAATGTGACATTTATACAAAAAAACAAACAAAACAAAAATCTGGAAAATGGAATCTGTTAGTTTTAATAATAATCAGCCCCTGCACATAAAAGTGCCTGCAGTTGAAGAAACATTCAAAATGGCTAACAAGCTGTGGTTTACGGGAATCTTGTGTTTTCCTCTCTCTCATCTGCCCTGTTCTCCAGATTTTTCAACGTCCTCTCTGTCTATCTCTTTCTGCCTTTCTCTCTCCCTGACGTCCTTCTCTCGGTCTGTTTTTGTTTTCCAAACAAGGTTCCCTTTACAGGAAATTGTGTATTCTGGAAGCATTCAGGAAGGCAGAGAGCAGGTTTCCTGTTGGAGCCATGGTCACAAAAAAGAAAAAAAAAAGGAGGGAGGAAGAGAGAAAGCGGGGTTGGGGGGGTTGGGTGAAAGGGGTTCAGTAATGTCCAAACTGGTGAAGAAAAAGCAGGCACTTATTCCTCTCCCCTCCCCTCACTCCTCTGC